TACAAGCCAGCAGCTGAGTTTCCCCGCTTGCAAGCCGGCTGCATGGGGCTTCCACCGCCTCCCTGCAACACAGCAGAGAGTTCGCCCCTCGCCACGCCCCCTCTGCTCCTCCCGCCCGCCTGCGTTAAACAGCTGCCTGCCTCTCGCCCCCTCTCCACCGCCACCTCTAGGCAGCTCCAACTGTCCGGCTGACCAAAGCACTTCCGGGTTCAAGTTGGTGCCGGACTATCAAGAGTGCCGGACCACTGGATGCCAGACAATTGGAGTTTTACTGTATATGGGAAAGCCAGGTTCAGAATCAATTTAAGAGAATTAGTTCCATTAGCTGACAGCAGTTAGACTGCATGGAAAAGTGCCACGCTCTATCACCAAAGATAATTTAGAAAGTGTTAGTACCAGCAACAAGGAAAACTGGTTCTGCTTTCCCTATCAAAACTTACTTCCACAAGGAAGACGGCATTAAATAAGGCAAAATGGTAAATTGAAAACAAAGAGTTGAATCTCAATTCTTAATAGGAGAATGGATTTACAGACTATTCAAAAACAAGAAAACATGGCACCCATTTACATATAAACACAAAATAACTGGTTCACATTCTAGTGTTAGAGCACCATCCTAAAAAAATTAAAATAATCCATCTTCACACAAATAAACAGAAAAATATTTAGGTTGCTAAAAGAATGACAAATTAAATTATGACCATCTATTCTGATTCAAGGAAAGTTACAGAAGTCATATAGTCAAACCTTTGAACTTCCTTTCCATCGAAATAAAAAAATCCACATTCTAAGAATTTTTGGACTTGAGGTTTAAGTACACTGTGTAGTTTTTCTGCCTTTCCACCTTTAACCATTTGATGGTAGTCAAAGTTCACCATTTTGATATCAACAGCATGTTCAGAGGCTTTCAAATGGCTCTGATATCAGGAAAGAAAGAAGAAAAAGTATAAATATATGAAGCAAAACAGTGAGTAAGGTTAGTTTAAGCCAAATATGCCACCAATGTTAAGAAAGTTATTCATTCCATTTATTCAGTATCTTTATCATTATCATTTTATCTACTAAAATGAGACATACTTCATAACATACAACACAATATAATATATAAACCAAAGCTTTAAATTATTTTAACTTAATTTTTGGTTTTAATTGCCAAAGCTAGAATCAGATTTTCATTCTACCTTCTCCTTTAACACAATTAAAGCAGAGTTAAGTATTGCAGCTTCTACAGTTTAAGATGTTAGTAAGCTTATCAATCATGTTAACAAGGTTCTCTGATTTGAGAAATGACACTCAAACAGTGGCCAATGGACCAGTGATGATGGTCTGTAGCAGTGTTTTTTAAACTGTGTTCCAAGGCACACCAGTGTGCCGTGGAGAACAACAGAGTTTAAAGTGGCTGCCATTAAAGGGGCAGGTGACTTTTTTTTCCCTCCTCAATAACTTTCCCCTCCCAACCCTTTTTTTTTTCTTGGTGTTCCTCATTAAAAAAAAATTATTGTTTGGTGTTCCTTGGTCTTAAGAAACACTGGTCTGTAGGAACAAAAAACAGGACTATGCAGCACTTTAAAGACTAACAAGATGATTTATTAGGTGATGAGCTTTCGTGGGCCAGACCCACTTCCTCAGATCTGTAGGGAGCTAGTTGGTCATGTGTTGCCTATTGTCCTTGTTTTCAGCTGTTAAATTTCATTTAAAAATCCAGTTAAAGTACATCAAGTTATTTCCTAATATTACTTTTGCTTGCATGTGAACAGTTGCTGTACGTGCCACATTAAATGATCACAAAAAGATGAGGAAGAAGCCTGTAGGATTCAAAGTGTGAGGGTAAGCATACAAGAGATGCACTCTAAAGATGAAACCCATCCTGAAAAAGTTTGAGATCCCCTACCATAGACTGTTTATTTGCAGCTTAATTCTATACATAACCTATTTGTCATCATATATTGCCAATTTGCTTGGAAAAGTGACTTTTTATGTAGCATTAAATGGGGGAGTTCCTACTTCTGTATCAAGGATTTCTGAGCAAATTTGCTTTCTTTACAAGAGAAACAATGGCTTTTTATTTTGAAGTGCCAGTCCTGAAAATTGATCCTAAAATCTGAAAGGTTCTTTCCTGCCTACAAATCACCACTAATGAATAAAGAATCTGCCAGCCAAATTGTGACCTCAAGTTACATTTGGACAAATTTACTGTGATACAGGCTGCTCCCGACTTGCCACGCGGTCGGTTCTGGGAATAGCGTCACAAGTTGAGGGCGTCATAATTCAAGCCCGCATTTATGACAGGAGTCATATGCCATCGTAAATGCGGGTCCAAGGACGTAAGTTGGGGGATTTCGGCCCCTACCACACTTACGGAAAAGGTTGTAAGTGCGGGGGGAGCCGTAAATCGGGCGGTCATAAAGAGGGGGTTTCCCGTAATGACATTTAGTTAGTTCAATTTACAAGTTTAAATAAGAACAAAATTTAACTTTGCCATTGGAACTTAGTTAACAATATTCGCTAAGAATGTGCAGTGGCAGTCCAAAGGGTAAAAAAAGAAAACAAATGTTAGGAACCATTAAGAAAAAGATAGATAAAGACAGAAAATATTATAATGTCACCACTTAAATCCATGGCACACCCACTCCTTGTATATTGTGCTTAGTGCTGGTTACTCCATCTCAAAAATCATATATCAGAATTGGAAAAAATACAGAGAAGGGAAAAAATAATTATTAGAGGGTAGGGAACAGCTTCTACATCAGGGGTAAAGAGACCAGTTGTTTAGTTGGGAAAAAAGACAACTGAATTGTCTGTGTGAAGTTGTTCAAAAGTTTGGAATGTTAGATGTAATCCCACAACTCAGATTGCTCATAAAGTAATCAAAGATAATGCAATTTTTATCATAAGTGAAAATATATTTGCAACAGTCTTAATGGAAAAAGTCCATTTTAAATCACAGCTGGTGACAGGATATTAATTAACTGGGACATCATTTCCAGTACTGTTAATATGCAAACACAGTGGCAGAAGTAGTGAATGAATACTATAGCTGCCACCTTTTGTAAATAGTGGCTTTTACTGAAAAAACATTTGGGTTTCCTTTTTAAATGTATTTAAAATTCAACACCTATAATTCTTGGATCAATATAAATACATCTAGAAAAGCAATAGGTATGTATTTAATTGAAGAGCATCTGTAGCTAAGAGAAACCTAGGCAAAATAAAAAGACTAGTAAAATTCCCCTTATGTAGGGTAGCTATGAAATACCAATTGAGTCCAAAAGTACATTTTTCCACAGCATGCTACTCAATTACATAGACTTCAGAATCATATGCTGCTCCCTGAAACATGTGTTATTGACACTGTGCTAACAGCATCCTATATTAAAATTAGATTAAAAATAAATGAGTGACATTTTCAATTAAATAAAATTTTCTGTATCCTAGACACACAATCCTTACATTTTCAGCTGAGTTTGTTTCCTATTGCAACTTCTTTTTTGATGTCATTTTAATTTCTGTCATGGTCATAACTGAGCATCTTATAAGTGATTTCACAGTCTAAACTGGTAATAGAATGTATGTGTAAATAAATTAACTAGATAATTAATGAAATAAAAATCACCATCACCGCCGTGTAAAGGATAACATGAGAAACTAGACTAATGTTACAGGCTATTCTCTAATTAATTAGAATACTGGAGAATCTTTATTCAACCATATAACTCAGTAGCAAGAAATATTGAGATTGGCCAGTTATGTCCAAAATGCTGGTCTTCTGAATAAGTGTTAAAAGTTTAAATTTAAATTAAAACTATGAAATTATTTGTAAGCCTCAAATGATGTATTCATATTAAGCTCAAGAAGGCCTTTTCTTAGCAGTCTAGAAATACATTCAGAGTAGATATCTAAAAATACATTACTAGAATAGCATTTTGGAGAAATAATTATTAACCTGAAGCAGACTTTATTAAATACCAAAATGTCTGTTGCCTTCGTACAAACATAAGAATGCAGAAGTTATTTGCTTTAGACATAAGCCAGTATTAAGGGAAGATAATTTACAAGAAAAAAAAAAATCAGCTAGGGGCTGCACACAAGTGAGAAGCAAAACAAAAGAGAAAAAACCAACACCCCACCCTCAATACCTCACTGGCGTGCCCCCAACTGAGAAGCAGAAAGACTCCCCCCACATTTCCCTTGCATACCAGTGCCTAGGGGGCCCAAGCTAGAAGATTTTGTGTGTTCCAGTCCCACTTTGGAGATGGCAGGGTGGAGGGGCTGGAGCACCAGCATGGGCTCCCCAGTGCTGGGGGGAGAGCCCTGAGCCTTTGGGGCCAGATCTAGGCAAGCCAGGGGAAGGTTCCTTACCCCTGATTATTTCTGATCAACAGGCTGCTATATTGCTATTATAACTTTTAAAAAAAGATTGCTTATTTGGGCTAACATGCTCAGATGTACTGATTATCATTAAAACTATTTTAAAATTCACTTCATTGTATATATCCTAAGAAATGCCTAGGTGAGCTTTTAAGATCCTGTATTGAGCAAAATGGGCACAAATTTATTTTAATAAGCAGTCAATCAGAGCGTAACATCTGTTTCATTATCTATTTAACACTCACCTAAGACAGTGTTTCTCAACCTTTTATGTTTATAAAGTACCCCTTTAAAAAACATTATAAGTACCTCCAGTACCTAGAGCTTTCAGACTCACAAAATTGTTTTCTATCATTGCAACACATTTGTTTAAACAACTTAATAATGATGAAATTTTTTAGTGTAAAAAGGTACAAAAATAATAAAGTGCTGTAAAACTTGAAACAAAAATTCAGTTTTCTCCAAATTTCAGTTGTGTTAATATGCCCCCTCCCCCCCAGACTTCTCTCCAATACCCCTAAGGGTACTCGTACCACTGGTTGAGAAACACTGACCTACGGTATAAGCCAATTCTGAGAACATACAGAGGCATGAGATAATACTTACCTGGAAGGCTTTGCTAAGCATATGCTCCCCTTCTTTTGCCCCAAGTAAATTTACAATAATTTGCTTGCCATATAAATTTTTAAGTGTTCGGAAATGCCTGTTAGCAAAAGAAAAGAAATACTCACTCACCTTTTGGCTAGTAAAAAAACTAACAATCAGCATCTTCTCTTAAAACAATCCTGTCTGAATGATGCCCTAGAGTACAGTGTACATTTTATTATGGCTAGGGCTGCCAGGCACCTGGTTTTCGACCAGAACACTCTGTCAAAAAGGGATCCTAGCTGTTTCAGTCAGCACTGCTGACTGCTAAAAGTCCTGTTAGTTGCACAGGAAGGTTTTAGGTCTGGGTTCTAGACTCAGTGGAGACTGCAGGGTGACGATGGGTGCTTCATACACTCTTGCCTTGCCCCTTTCCTTGTGCTCCCCCCCCAGTGCCAGCTCCACAGCTCCCATTGGCTAGGAACTGTAACCAAAAGGAGCTTTGGGAACAGGGCCTATAGGGATGGGCAGAACACAGAGAACCGCTGCCGCTGGTTGCTTCTAGGAGCCAACTGAGGTAAGTACTGTCCAGCCAGACCCTTCATCCCATCCTGCACACAAACCCTTTGCCCCAACTCTGAGCTCCCTCCAATACCCTGAATCCCACATCGTTGGCCCCACCCCAAAATTCTTACCCCACTCCTGCACCATACACCCTGCTCCAGTCTGGTGAAAGTAGATGTGAAGTAATGGTGGGGGAGAGTGAGCAGTGGAAGGACAGGGTTTGGGGTGAGGAATGGGGCACAAGGAAGGGGCAAGGCAAGGGTGTTCAGTTTTGTGCAACTAGAAAGTTGGCAACCCTAATTATGGCAGCCATTTTATTGAAATGCATCCCATGCAAGTGATCCAGTCCACTGATATCAAATGCCATTTGACTATTTATTTAAGACAATAGTAGCAATCATTCTACTTAAAAAGATACATTTGGCCAATATCAAGAAGTTACATGGAGTTTAACCAAGCACTGTTACATACAAGTATGAAAATTAAGAGTTTAGAATTTAATTTAACACAGATGTTGTTAAATAAAGATTACAAAAGTGTTTATGAAATGAAAATTTCCAGTTCAGCACAGTATTGTGCTATTTTAACCTCCTTCAGACTTCTTTTTTAAAAAAAACCTTATTTTCCCTCTTAAGTGCAGTGCTAAGCCTTAAGTACATACTTAACTTTAAGCACAGGACTCACATGCTTAGCTGAATTACTGTTTTAATCAGTAAAATTATTTTATCAGAAAGAGGTCTCTCACCAACATATCCCTTTATTGTTTCTACCATATTAAGAAAAATGCAAGCCACTATTTCACCTGTCAAAAGCCGGTGCATTTGCTTCAAATCCCCTTGACATTCTGACACGATGGGATCCCACCTTTGACAAGAAGAGTACATTTTATACTTGAAATTTGTGTTTGTCTCTGACTATCTGCTCTCCAAGTTGCCTTTTAATCCTATTTGTCATACATTCTTCCTTCCATAATATGTGCTTCTATTGGTTTCATTAATGTTTGTTTTCTGAATACCACCTTTTTGACTCAATCTCTTGAACTTTCCCAAGTAACTACGCTTCTGACTTTTATGTTCAGGGATACGCAAGCCTCCTGGGACTCTGTTATGGCATACGTATGTAGCTGCCATGCCGTGTCTAAGGATTTTAAATGCTTTCCTCTTTTATCATGTCACAAATAACGGATTCTTCACACAATTCCTTTCCAAGGATGCTGGACTTAATTATACCATAGAGTCACTATGACAGTGTTTTTCCCACTGTTATTTCTTGCACAGACTCCTTTGTATTATTTGGAATGAATCAAGAGTCGCCTCTCCGCTTGTGTGATCCAGAACAACCTATTCCAGGTAGTAATCATTGTGGTTGAAGAAGTGTCTTCAACCACAGTATCTCCAGCCCGTTAAGAAGCAAAAGTCTCGCTCCCAAAGAGAGAGTCTCATCCAGAATTCAGGAAAAAGGTAACAGAGCCTCAACCTTTATCTTAACTACTTACCTGCAGACCGGGTTGCTCCCAAAATAAAGGAACAGATCCACGAATTTGTATGAAGGAAGAGACAGAATCATCCAGGAATATCACCTGTTGAGAAAAAGCAGCAATTTTACAGGTGTATTTACTACACGATTAGTTGATAAGGGGAAGTGCTCTGTCCTGGCTCGTGCAGGGTTCAGGAACTACCCTGCTGTGGCGTTGCAGTTTAAACGTAGTAGGAGCCAGGCGCGTGGGCAACCTGGCTCCTACTACATTTAAACTGCAGAGCCACAGCGGGGGTAGGTCCCAGACCCGCCATGAGGCAGGACAAAGCAATCCCGGCTTGTGCTGGATTCCGGACAGCTGGGGCTGGGGCTGGGGCTCCCTCCCTCCCTCAGGCTGGGGCTGGCTGGCTCGCTCGCTCGCTCGCTCCCCCCCCCCCCCCCCCCCCGCCACTGTAGAGATGGTTTTTAAGCATAGATTTATCAGGTAGCCGACTACTTGACTAGTCACTTACATCCCTAGGGGGCAGATTGCAGAAACAAAACAGTCTTTTTTGCATTATCAGAACATAGTGAATAAAAACTCATCTAAACACACTGCATGTGTCATGGTATAAGGAGGAATTACAATATCTGTTATTTAAAAAAAAAACATTAAATGACCTGTGTGTTTCATGGCTCAGAATGCACAACTTGAATAAAAAATTATTCAATAGTAAGAAAATACCATATTCAACATGGTCAAGTTTAATGTGGTTTTAGAAAGACGGTATTTTTCTTTTTAAAAGAAGTCCTAGCTCCTAGTTCTCATGAAAAGTGTTTCCCTGTAAAGATTTCTTCAAGATGACAAGGTTGAATATATTTACAGCTTTTTAATTTCATATCTACTTTTTAATATACACTTTGGTAACATTTAGACAAAAACATACAGAAGACTTCATTCTATTTCTCTTAAGAGCTCCATTTAAGAATCCTGTAAAAACAGACAAAAATATCTCAATTTAACTACTTTCTAAGAGCCCTTTCATGCTTATCATTAAGACTTCCCATAAGGCACTTTAAAAGTTTGTGAAGAAGCTTCGATTTTTCTTTCGGTATTCAATATTCACTCAGTACATAACTGAATATTCTCTTGTTTTAGTAAGTTCTTAGATCATAAGAGTTAAATTTGGGACTTATGATTTAGTTTATTTCCATTATGAAATGACATTATAAAGTAATGAGTTAATGTCTTTTAAAAATGTACAACTCCAACATTTCCTCAAAGAGCTAGTATTTAGCCTTAGATTAAAATAGATTTCAAATGTTATAAACAAACCACAATTTATCATATAATAAGTATGTTACTGGAAAAATACATTTAAAGAAACTTGACTATGCACCAACCCCAGTCCTGAAACAGATCTAGTTCCAGTTCAGGAATGAAACTAACTCCGTTTCAGAATCTCCAATCCTGCACCTAGGTGAAACGCTCTTGAAATCAATGAGGATTCTGCTCAAGTGCAGAGATTCATCCTTACACGATCTACCCACGTGCATATAACTCAAGATCAGACTCTTTATAACAATGAAATCAAAGTACCTACCAAGAAACATCTAAAGTGTTATAAACGACAGTATAGTAATAATTACAAATATAACAAAATCCTCAGAGTAAATTGGCTTAGATTCATTCACTTCAAAGGAAGAATGCCAACACAAATATAAGCAATGGATCTGGCCCACAATCTATTGATCTGGAGTAAACAATGTAAGGCTTTTTGCTACCTACATATTCTCGTTATATGGAGTACAATATAGCATACCTGTTCTGTTTCAACAAAATTAGCAACATGCCCATCATCATTCGTTCCTCGTACATTAAACCTGGTCCCAGCTCGTTCACAGCTTAGTCGTGAAATGAGGCAAGCTTTTGCCTGTTTGTGAGCTGCATAAATTGTCCTAATCTCTACTCCTCCACACATGAGACGCAATAACCAGTCATCACAGTTCACACCATAGTGCTTAAGATGCAAATGCAGCGATTGGTTCCTATCAGAAACAGAAATGACTCAGGTTAATGACAATGAAAAATAAAACAGGTACAGCCGGTCCGCAAATTGCGAACGGTCAATTTACAACCGACCATTCCCAGTTACAACCAAAGCTGTCGTAAATGGCGGACCCCGAGTTACGAACGCAATCCGCGCTTACGAACAGCGCGGTTGCGTGTAACTCAATGGGGTCTGACTTATGAACGAACCAAGTTATGACCAATTGCTTGGTCCGTAACCGGTTCATAAGTCGGAGAGAGGCTATAGTTTTGTTTAGATTAATTGCTGTTTTATTTCTCAAACTCCACACTTAATATAAGGAACATGAAGTGGAAAGCTTTGCATAAAATGCAGTTTCATCCACAAGTCCTATTTAAACAGACTTGAAAACTCTGTGTAATGAATTTTAACAAACATAAGAACCAGCAACCAAGAATCCTCTGTTATTACTGCAGTTTCCCTTGTCTTTTTCTAGTAATGTGTGTCAGAACCTATTTGGAAAACCAGTCTTGGAAAAAAATAAAATCAGAGTGCCAATTATGGGGTTTTAAGTAGTTGTAGAAGAGTTGCCTACATTCACTCAGCATCAGAAATGAAAGAAAGGAAGACTAAAGGTAGGGAAGAGGAGAAAATGAAGTAGAACTTCACCTAAGAATCATAAAAATGATTCTATTAATATTCATAATATTCATTTAGTATTAATATTAAATATTAATACTAAAATTTACTCTTAAGAGTTGAAATACCATCCATATGTCTTACCATTAGCTCTAATTGATCCATTTGTTTGCAGTCTTAGTAGAAATTAAAGCGGCAATACTTGTTTGATCAAAAATTACAAATACAAAAAGCCAAATAGATTTGATTTAAAACTACCTTCTAGAAGGAATCATAGACTACTCAAACTAGAAGGGACCTCAAAAGGTCATTGAGTCCAGTCCAGTCCAGTACCAAGCTGCATCTAGATCATCCCTGGTAGATATCTGTCCAAACTGCTCTTAAACATCTCCATCTGACAGAAAGGTTTTCCTAATGTCCAACCTAAACCTCTTTTGCTGCAGTTTAAGCCCATTGCTTTTTGTCCTATCATCAGAGGCCAAGGAGAACAAATTTTCTTCCTCCTTCTTGTAACACCCTTTTAAATACTTAAACTACTATCATGTCCCCTCTCAGTCTTCTTTTCTAAACTAAACAAAACTAATTATTTCAATCTTCCCTCATAGGTCATGTTTTCTAGACGTTAAATCATTTCTGTTGCTCTTCTCTGGACCTTCTCTAATTTTTGCACATCTTTCTTGAAATGTGGTGCCCAGAACTGGACACAATTCTCCAATTGAGGCCTAAACAGCGTGGAGTAGAATAGAAGAATGACTCCTTGTGTCTTGCTCACAACACTCCTGTTAATGCAACCCAGAATCAGGTTTGCTTTTTTTGCAACAATGTTACATTGTTGACTCGTTTAACTTGTGGTCCACTATGACCCCTAAATCCCTTTCAGCAGTACTCCTTAGACAATCACTTCCCATTCTATGTGTGTGAAACTGATTGTTCCTTCCTAAGTGGAGGACTTTGCATTTGTCCTTATTAAACGTCATTCTGTTTACCTCAGACCATTTCTCCAGTTTGTCCAGATAATTTTGAACCTATCCTCCAAAGCACTTGCCACCCCTTCCAGCTTGGCATCATCTGCAAACTTAATAATCATACTCTCTATGCCATCATCTAAATAATTAGTGAAGTTAACTAAACAGAACACAATGTCGTAAAATGTGTAAGAAAGAGCTATAAACAAAATGCAAAAGCAACACGTAGTTTACAAACAGAGGGAGTATCTCTGCTTTAAGAAACAACAGTGCTCAGAAACTTTAGAATATCCCATCTAAAATCAGTTTTCTATAGAAAAGCAACAGCACATTTTACATTTCTACAAAAAACTTCTGTAAAGGGTTAATCAATAAGCATCACCCGTACCCTGGTAAGATGCAGCCTGGCCAGGCTGGAGCAGTCCCCTGTCTGCTGCAGATGGGGGGCTACTCTAGCATGGCTGGACCCACCGCGCTGCATCTGCAAGGGCTCTCCAGCCCAGCCTACTGCACCGTGCAGGGCCTACGGGGGCTGAAGCAGCCCCCAACACCCACAGCACTACAGACTTGCCAGACTGACCCATGGCACCGTGGGTGTGGCTGGGATGAAGACAGTACGGTTTTAGCGCCCTCTGTCCAGTAGAAAAATTCAGAAAATATCGGACATGTGCAATGTCCAGTATTTTCTGAATTTCCGGCTGGGCGCCGGAGGGAAGCCTGGCAGGGGTGGGGGAGCGACTGGGAGGCAGGACCGCGATTGGCTCTAGGACCCCTGTGGTCGCGTGCAAAAGCCGGGTCACTCCCCCTGCCCGGCTTCTGCACACAACCAGAGACTCCCAGCACTAATCGCGGCCCCGCCTCCCAGCTGGGAGCCTCTGGTTGCATGCTCACCCCGCCGGGCTTCTACTAGCAACTAGAGGGAGTGCCTGCCGGGGGTGTGGCCTGTTGGACTCCGGCTGCGGCCAGTGGCTGCACCCCCCCCCCGCCAGCTCTGATTCCTGCCCCCCTTCCTCCGGTCCCCCCCCTCGTCCAACACCCTTGGCCCCCGATCCGCCCCAGCTCTGCTTCCTGCCCACCCTTCCTCCCGGCCAGCCCCGTGGCCCCCACCCCCCTCCCGACGGTCACTCTCTCCCCCTCTCCCCCCACCCATGATCAAGTGTGTCCGGTATTTTGAGGGGGGGGGAGGGAGTCTACCTAGTAACCCTAGCTGGAGCAGCTCCCCAGCCAGGCCCACTACACTCCGGGTGGAAGGCCACTCCAGCCCAGCCAGACCCCTCACCTGCAGGATCCCAGTTAACCAGTTAACTTTTTAAATGGGATTGCACATCCCCAGTTTCTTCAGAGAAGCACAAAAAACAAAATGTTAAATTGTTGTGACAAGCATTTTGATCAAATTACAGTATTGTGAGTTGTGACAATTCAATCTTTCAGTGAAGAAGACACCCCAAACTGTGTCTGACTTTTATTATAGAAAATGTTCAAACTCACTTTTATAAGAGTCTGAAATAAAACATGGAATTATATCTCAGTGCAATTTTATAAACCAGGATTCGTAGGACAGAGTCAATGATCAAAATAAACATGCATAGTTTACATGCATTACATCAGGCCTGGCAAAACGTACTAGCAACTTACCAGAAAAATCTATTGTCAGTGGTCTGTTCCTGCATGCTACGGTGAGCATTAAGACTAAGATCTAAACTGACCCCAGTAGCAGACCATGCAAAATAAAAGTTTCCTGAGTTCAAAACTTTGCGCACTTCTGAGATACGATCTTCATCTGAAGGGTCACTTCGTAATGACATGAATTCAGTGGAAGTAACTCGAAAAACTTCAGATTCTTGAATTTTTCCCACAGACATGCATCCCGTGACGAGAACCAGATAACGTAACAAAGTGTCTCCTGTAGAACCAGAAATATAATTTAATGATGAATTCTAGTTACAAATATCTGTATTTCAAACACAACATGGGAGGTCACCTAGTTATTTTCAGCCTTTCCCCTCCCCAAACCTGATTTGCCATTTCAATGTAGCCAGTGGTTACTGACACCAAGCTTAGTTCTATAGCTTTGGAAAACATGCTCTTAATTTTTAATCAAGGCACTTCTTTTGATATTCTATTTTACATTAATATTTTGACATAGCAATATCATTTTACAAGTCATAAAACTATATGCTACATCTGGTTTTGGGGTAAGCATTAACTTCATTGATTAAACAGTGAAAATCAAATGCAGAGGCAGCTCAGTGAACCTTGGTGAGTAGGTGGAGCACTGGTGTTCTTTTTTTAAGAAGTATACACACTAATTTAATAATATCAGGTTATGCCACGGAAGTTAAGGCATTGCAAGCAAGGGAGAGCATTACTGAAAGCAAGAGGGGTTGTGAAAGTGAAGTTATCTTTGTTTATACTGTTAACACAACATACTAGGTACAATACTAACATCTGAGGAAGTGGGTTTTGCCCATGAAAGTTCATGATTGTGTATGTTCTCTCTCTCTCCCCCTCCCTCCCCACAGAGAAGCTGTCTCCAATTAAAAATAAATCATTTTCATTGTTTACTCACCCAGATTTAACCTTAATACACCTAAAAGTCCATATGCATCCATTACTTTGGAGTATGTGCTCCTGATTGCTTCCTTCTCTGCAGATGCTATAAAAAAAAATGAAGATAAAAATCAATATTCTTTAAAAAAAAAAAACCACCCTTGACTCCTAGGCTGTGTCCAGACTCAGGGTTTTTTTCGAAAAAAGTAGCCTTTTTTCGAAAAAACCTCACCTGCGTCTAGACTGCAGCCGCGTTCTTTCGAAATTAAATCGAAAGAATGCGGCTTTTCTTTCGATGGCGGTAAACCTCAATTTACGAGGAAGAACGCCTTCTTTCGAAAGTTCCTCTTTCGAAAGAAGGCGTTCTTGAATGTAAATAGGGCTTCTTCGAAAGAGAGCATCCAGACTCACTGGATGCTTTCTTTCGAAAAAGCAAGCCGCTTTTTCGAAAGTTCAACGTGCAGTCTAGACGCTCTCTTTCGAAAGAGGCTTGCAGTCTAGACATAGCCCTAGTGTCATACTGAAAATATTTCCACTCTGAACTGGAAATCTAAGAAAATATAGTGATAATGCTTAAGATATCAGAAGCTCTTGGAAAGTTATTTCATTCAATTATATTACTATATCCTAACAGCATTTAGTGCCATTTTTAAATAGCAGCCATTCTGTCTGAGGATTAAACTTGATTTTACTTGTTTTTGCTATGTGAAGATGCACCACATGGCTGCTTTCTTTAATAAGCTTTAGCAAGTTGGTGCTTAAAATAGTCTCAGTCATGGACACTTCCAAATTTTAAGGCTTGCAGAAATGTCTAACTTGAACTAAGATGCAAAAAGGAAAGAAACAGAATTAGTGAAGCCTCTCAGTTACTGCTGTTACTCAAGTACCAGCCAAAAGTGCACTTTCCCAACTAATCAGCTAGACAAACTGTTGCTGTTTTCTGATGACCTACAACATAAAAAGGCAGGAAGAAACAAAACTAGCAACAGTGGCAGAAAACACAGGCCAATAAACTTGAGAAAATGAATTTCTTCAAAAACACACTATCATTTCTCCGCCATAAAAGCCGCAAAGTCACATCCTGAAGAAGATTTTCACATTATAGTTTCAAACCCACTCAACCTCTTAATCATAAACTCACAGAAACACAGGAATGGAAGAGACTTTGAGAGGTTATCTAGTCCAGACCCACACACAGAGAAGACTAAGTATATTTACATCATCTCTGACAGATGTTTAACCTGTTCTTTAAAAATTATTCCACAATCTCTTTTGGTAAGATATTTCAGTACTTAACTGTAGTTAGAAACATTTCCTTATAGATAACCTAAATCTCCCATGGAGCGAATTAAGCAGATTACTTTTTGTCTTGCCTTCAGTAGATACAGAGAACAATTTAACATTTTTCTCTTTATAACATCCCTTAACATATTTGAAGACTTACCCATGTCACTCTTGTTCTTTTCTCAAGATTAAATATTCACAGATTTTTTAAACCTTTCATTATAGATCAGGTTTTCTAAACATTTTATCATTTCTATTGCTCTTCTCCAATTTGTCCACATCTTTCTTAAAGCATGATGCTCAAAACTGGACACAATGCTCCAGCTGAGGCCTCTCCAGCGCCAATTAGAGCATCTTACATATTACACTCCTGTTTATGCACCCCAGAATATTACCTTTTTTGCAACTGTTTCATATTGCAGACTCAATTTGTGATCCACTATAATGCCCCGGATTATTTTCTGCTAGACTGTCGCCTAGCCAGTTATTCCTGATTTGTATTTGTACAATTGCTTTTTCCTTCCCAAGTGTAGTACTTTGCACTTGTCTTTGCTGACTTTCATCTTGATTTCAGACTAATTCTTCAATTTGTAAAGTTGGTTTCAAATTTTAATCTTGTCCTCCAAAGTATTTGCAACCCCTCCTAGTTTTATGTCTTTCACAGATTGTATCAGAATACTTTCCACACCATTATCCAAGTCATTAATGAAAATGGTGATTAGTACCAGACCTAGGACAGGGTCCTATGGGATCCCATTTGCTCTTTTTTCTCCCAGTTTGACAGCAAGCCCTTTATAACTGCACGAGTCTGGTCTGTCAACTGGTTATGCATCCTCCTTATAGAAACTTCATCTAGACCACATCTTCCTAAATTGTGCACGAGTTCATGATGTGGGACTGTGCCAAATTAAGATCTTTCTAAAAACAAAATATATCACATCTACTTCTTCCTTTCCATCAGATCAGTAACCCTGTCAAACAAGGAAATTAAAATGGTTTGACACGATTTGCTCTTGACAAACTGATGCTCTTATACCCTATTATTCTCTAGTTACTTACAAATGGGTTGTTTAATAATGTGTTTCAATACCATTCCAGGTCTGAATGATTCATAATTCCCCCAATCTTTGCTGCTCTCCTTTTTAAAGATAAATACTAGGTTTGCCCTTGTCATGGTGGGGTAAGTTACGCATAACATAATTTTACATTTGTAAGTTCAACTTTCATGATAAAGAGACTGCACTACAGTACTTGTATTAGGTGAACTGAAAAATGCTATTTCTTTTGTTTATTCAAGGGCAAGTATCTGTAATAAAAATATAAAGTGAGCATTGTATACTTGTGTGTTCTGTGTTATGATTAAAATCAGTATTCAGGTTGAACCTAACTAGTCCGACAACATCCGTGTTACAGCATCATTTAGTTAGCCATAGATCTGCTTATGAATGGGATCAAGTTTCTGACTCTACTCCCACTCATGTCTCTCACTGCCCCAAGCTGTGACCACAGCTGGGGGTGGCAGAAGTGAAACAGGCAGCTGGGACCTCAGGCAGTAGCAGAAGGGCAGCAGCCAGGACTGGCATTCAAGCCTTCAGTCTATAGTTGACCTCCCATGGTTTGACAAATGCTTTGTTTCTGCACCTGTCAGGTCCTGAGGGTACCAGACTAGAGAGGCTCAACCTATAGTTGAAAAGTACAAAACACTCACAAATATTGAAATAAATAGCATTATATTATTGTTTAATACCATGATTAATTGCAATTAACTTTTTAAATAGTTTGACAGCTCTAATAATAAAGTTATCACTGAAAGGAAACAGGAAACAAATTTCCTCTGCATTTAATACACCTAATCAGTTTCACTTGTCTTTCATGAGGCTATCATACTAACCTGTATGGGCTCTCTGCAGAGCAATAAACATGCTCTCTTTTAAGCCCCATAAGACAGGAGTTCTCAAACTTTTTATTTGTGAGCCCCCCGCTGTAGCCACAGACCCCTGGTTGAGAACAGCTGCTCTAAAACAGTGGTTTTCAACATTTTTTTCCATTTGTGAACCCTTAAACATTGTCAAATGGAGGGGCAGATCCTTTGGAAATCTTAGTCTACAGACCAGAGGTTGAAAACCATTGATCTCACAGCTTTAGTGGTAAATGTCAGCGTCTCCACAGATCCTGTATTCACAGTTTAGTTGGAGCCTACTATGTAATTATATCCCATTTAGTAAACAAAAATCACTTATTTTTAAAAATTAAAAATATAATAATTCTCATTAAATATTTGTGCACTGCAGAGAGCAACTGCTATCCCATCAGAAAGGTGATTTCCCTTCCTGTACTGCTACAGTGAATCAGCCAGGCTATCTCCACTCTTCAGTTGCCTGCAATGAGCAAAGGAGGACTTTCTACCATCTGGTAGGGCTCTATGAAATCCACAAGAACACAGAACTGCACAATTAAAACAGTAACATGGAATCTGGGCTCTCCCCAGCATTAGAACCACAGTGGCTGATGGGCAGAGTGGGATGCATGATTGAGCTTCATGCACCTGCTGGAGGTAAGAAACCAATAAGTATGGGGAAGGAGTTGCAGGGAGCTATGGTCACCAGGGAGTGCATGTGTTAGGGGAGAATGGTCAGCATCTGGGATTTAAAGGACAGCTTCCGAGAACTCATTCCTTGCTATGTCAGTTTCACATTGGAAGTCCCAGCTCCCAGGCAGACTTCAGCCATGTAACCAAACACTGAACAGTACAGCAAACTACCATCTATCACTCCCCAATACAACTGTGCGAACAATGGCAGGCGTTCCTGTGCAGCTCTCTGGATGAGCCCACATCCACTAGATCTTTGTGCTTCCTGGAAGCTTATGAAGGGACACGTGCATATGATTCTAACCTAAAATTGGGCCCCATTGTGGATGCTAGCCAATCCAAGGTCTTATCCTATTTTATGCCTTTTTCCCCCCCATCAGCTTACAGAGAGGTGAGCTTTAGTAAATATAAAAATCTACTTACAGACCAGAAGGAATCACTTTCTGAGAAAAACACTAAAAAACTAACCATATTGAACCACAATGGAGATGTCTGCCAGAGATGGCAAACGTAAATGTCACTGTTGATTTGTTTGAAATTGCTTAATCAAATCTTAAATTAAATTTAAGCATTCCTTCAGAATGAAAGTACTGACTTTAATTTAAAATGGTAACAATGACTGCTGCGAGGATGAATTTTATGTTTAGTGTTTTATTTTTAATTATTCAAATACAAATACAGTTAAATTGACTCTAGAAGGGGCTAGCGCATAGTGGTCTCAAGCAGCTCTGCAGAAGATGCAAGACCATGCTGTATTTAAGGGCAATTTTAACAGTCACCACATGCAGTGGGGCAATGCAGAAAACAGCACTGAACATAAAAAAAAAAAGATACAGAGGGCATCAGCAAATGATATGCTCTGCTTTTTTAATGCAAAACAGAACGTCACTTTCCACTTTACAAGATGGAGCAGATGATACTTCCTTGACTGGTCACCATTTATCTCTAAAGATGACAGAGGCACACTGATACCTGCATCGCAGATGGTCTCCGATGACTTCCTAAACAGTCAGCAAAGACCAGTATTGAACCATATTGGCATACAAATCCCAGTTCTCTACTAAAAACTAGCCCTGCATTGGAACGTCAAAGAAGCAGAAAGGACCACTTTCACTATGACAGCGGACAACACAAATCTCCCACAGTCCCCCAATGCAGAAGACTTCTAACCATTTTACTGCATTCCTAATCTCCATGGCAAAGAAGAAGGCCCTCAAGGAGGCAAATCATCGTACACTCCTTGCTGGACTCTAGAGACCTAAGAGCTCTCACACAAATGCAATAATTGTAGAGACCTAGAAACTGGAAAAGTCCTCCGGGCATTACTGGATGCAGCAAGGCAAAAATAGTGGCTTGAACGCATAGGTCTAAACATCACACAAAAGGGGGAAGCATGGAACTTGCTAAGACACTTGGGGGGGCTGCAAATATGCACACATCACCAGGCTGCAGGTGAGAGCCAATGCTCTTGTTGCTAAGCATTTCTGGACATGAAAACAGCCAGTAACAAAGTGTATGCAGGCAAGTCCAGCATCAACTTTGGCAGGGGACATCCACGTACACATCAATATTCCAATGGTCTGGGCCATTCACAAGGAGATCAAAACAAACAAGAAAAGAAGCAGGAAAAGACTATCCTGAGTCCACTTGGGCGGAAATAAATGATACAACTTTTTACCAACATCCTGGAGATCAGTGAAATCCCCATATGTGGAGAAAAGCAAAGGTTACTGCACTCCTGAATCCTGGAAAACCTGAAGATCACTCTTCTAATTACATTATCTCCCTCTTGAGGGCTACTTACAAGATGACGGAGCATATGAGTCTAAACTAAATCAGGCCCCCTGTGGACGCTAGCTAATCCAAGCAACAAGCTGGTTTACCAGTCACACAGAAGTTGCTGTGGCCATGTCCTGGCCCTCACTTCAAACATCAAATCTAGATTCCAATGAAAACTCAAGAATTACTTTCATCAATCTGTCAGCAGCATATTGTCTGCTACTGCAGCTGGCCAAAGGGATCCCCCCCGTGAAGATTTTCAAGCCACTGAACACCACAGTTAGCAGCTGAAAAAGCCTGTTTCTATTGGTGGTGCCCACCTGCATATGCTATGGTGCACTTAAAGTTTATTGCACACATAGCTAGAAAAATTTAGAGGGAACACTGTTCTTGACCACATACTGACCTTTCATGATTACCTTAAAAATATAGCCCCTAAAGCAAAAACTCACACTAATATTATTCAGAAGTTAACTTGGGATGTTAAATTTAGATTAATCGGCTAATCAAGTAGTCAATGCAACTTGCATTGACTATTTGATTAATCGATAAGGGCGCCTCTACCTTTGAAGTGTAGCAACAGCCCTGGGACTGTTGCTATACCTCAAAGGCAAAAACGCTGTGGGGAGAATGGGGCTAGTGGGGGACTCAAGCAGTCCCCTGCTGGCCCCATGCCCCCTGCGGTGTTTCAAAGCAGCAGCGCCACATGGAGTCTGGGATCAGCCTCTTTCTGATAGAGGCAGCGGGGGGTGGAAAGGGAGGAGGGAGAGTGACTAGTAAACTAGTGTGTCAACTCTCCAATAAGCATTTGCTTATCGTAGGGCTACTCAACATGCAGCCTGCGGGCCACATGAGGCCTGAAGTGTGGTTTGGATTTACGCAGGGCTCAACGCAAGTGGGAGCCAAAACAAAAAAAGTAGTCAGTATAATGGTCTTCTGTTGATATGCGTTTTAGTAGTTAAACTCCTGGACTGCCATTGCTCATTAAAAGTGCTGTTATATGGGCAGAAATTGGGTAAATATTGCATTTTATTAATATCAGAAGAATTTAGTTAAATCAGGCCTGTGTGTTGTGTAGTCTTGCCTTAATCTTTGTATACATGCCTGTCAGTGTGAAATAAGTTATTTGCATATATATGCAACCAAATTAAGTTGCGGCCCTCGGCATGTGTTGAAAGTATCATCGTGGCCCCCAGAGCTATTCAACTTTGAAAGCTCCAGATAGTAGACTAGTCATTCACATCCCAACAATTTGTAGAAACAAGCTAGGGATTGTGGAGGCAGGAAAAGGGAATTTGTGTGACGCCATCTTGGTCTTGTTAGCAAGAGAGCAAGAGTCAAGCTAAGTCTATGGCCTGACAACGCAAGATCTGTAATCAGACGCTGCCTTTGCCTCTCACCTCCATATGGAGATAAGGATAGAATGCTGACTCTGGCAGGGACCTTGAGATAAGGAGCATCTGGGTGGAACTAAAATAACTGTTAGCCATTGGTGTTTGTAATGGGAAGGCGACTAATTGTTATTATATCTAATAGGTAGTATATAAACTGCTTCAAAATTGCTTGGATTCAAAGATCTGCCTCAGAGAGGGGGCTCCCCCCCCGTCCAAACCAGTTTTTCCCTTGCTGCAGCTTGTAATAAAACTGCCTCTGGCTACTTGTTGCTTACAAACGCAGAGTGAGGACAATGTTTTCTTCCACAGGATCAACTGCCCCCCACTGCTACAAATATTGGCTTTAGCCCTGGCATAGTAGACAAGAAGCTTCCATACTGAACTGGTGAACAGGCAGCTACATCAGACCATGTGAATCACCATAGGAACTCTAAAATCAACACCTCCTCTCATGGCTTTCTATTTCTCCAGTAGTTATCTGACTCTCCAGTAGTTATCCACTGAGATTTAGGGCAGCATCAGAACTTAAATTCACCAAAAAATATCCAGAACTTCCCATCCTGCAGGTTATGAACAACATACCCCAACAATGCCTGGAATCATGAAAAACTTGTGGCCACCTCATGTCTCTGGATCCTGACTGGGAACAGCAAAGCATCTGGACCCCACGTACTATTTCAAACAAGCATAGTATTACTGACCGGATAACGTGCACACAGACTTTTGAGCACGTTGAACTGCATCTGAACTAGGGAAGTAGAGATGTAGAAGTGTATCTGGCTAGACAATAAGTAAATGCTACTCAGTTAACGCTACTGGTTACAAGCAACACCCCACATTTATTTTGGGAGCCAGAGCATGGTCAGTCTGGCTCCATACCGACTCACAATTTTTGTCAACTACACGATTACCAAATTACACACTTCCTAACATCCCTAATCTGAACAAACCACAGAAGATACAACTGCTTGATGCACAAGTGGAAAAAATCAAAGACTCACCTTCATGCAAAAGTATTGATAACATCCAAACTATTGAATACATCATAATTCAGTGCCCCAAACATAGATTCAAAAGTGAATTGGATGATATTCACACCACCACAGAAAAGGCATTGAAATGGCTTAGAGACCTACAACAGCTTCTACCAAATGTTGCTCTGCAGATTCCAAACAAGCGTGAGAGATGAAATGATTCTAAAAACCATCTGTGAATATTTTCATGTCAAGTTACACTGATCATTTTATATAGACTTTACTGAATCTTTATAAAAATGACTGCTATGTAAAAATACCTTTCTTCAAAAATTTTGTTCTTATTAGTAATATAAGATGGACTGCATATATGCATGTTTTTTATTTTTAACAGACCTTGGGAATGGAAATGGACGTTATTATAGATTATTGCTTTGTCTTGCTACTTTCTATAATATAGAAAATAGCAAGACAAAGCAATAATACATACAAAACTGAGGTTAAGAAATGAAAACTATCATAATAGAACAGACTGAACAGTTACTGTAAGAACTGAGAAATGACAGATTAAGGGATATAATAAGTCATTTTCATAATCTGTGAATGTATTAAAAATGAAAATATGTTTGACATGGAAATGCATTTATCAACTTTTCACATTCTACTTAACATATTGACTTACAGAGGACAGCCACAACTCCAGACTCAAACATGAGGCACTCTTCCTTATTTCTGGTTTCCACTATCACACTGAATGGAGGTGGATCCAATTTGTGATAGACACGATATCCTTTGCTGAAAGCCATTTTTCCTTTACCAGAGGCAGACCTGTGCAATACAAGACCATGCCAGTGAAAACTTCCTCTACCTCCAGGGTTCTCACTGCAAAGTAGCACCAACTTCCACCCTGACTCAGTTATTTTAAGAGTATTTAATAGGGGAGGAGACAAGAAGAGTGAAGACATGAAAGGCCATGAGGAAGACAGAATTTATAGAAGGGCTGAATGATTTAAGTTCAGTTTACTCAGAAAAACAGACTCAAGGGATATTTATAGATAAGCATTATCATGAGTTGTTTTTTAGAAAATAAGCAACTTTAAGAAGAGCTTACTTGCAAATTCATTAACAAATCCATTTGTTTTAACAGCTTATTATTTCTTTGATGAGAGGGAGTTATTGACTTAAACAGTGAGCACAAAGAGTGATAACAACCTAATGATGAAAGTAGGTGACTGGGAGTTAAGACAGGTTCCATTTTTTACTCAATTAGTGAGTATGACCAAAGGGCCACTGTCAGAGAGTTTAAGCTCCGAACCTGTTTATTTTTACAAAGCCTAATAGTGATAGAAATGTTTTGGTACCTTGGTGGTTTTAATGGATCTGGGAGTTTTGTTGTTGCGTTTGGTTTGGATTCAAACCCTTCCCTGCATTATCTATTACAACACCGGGCTAGAGAAATTGACTAGAAATTGGAAGGTGAGATTGCTAAAACAGAGCAATTTTTTTTGCCTTTTGCATATTTTCCCTTTTGTTTTTGTAGTTTTTAATGATTTAAATTAACCCAGTGATTCTGAGATCACTGATTTTAGCCAGTCTAAGATGTTATTAGTAGCAAGGGTAGGGCCTTTTAAAATCAGAATAGTTACCCTCTATCCTAGCAGTATCCCCAGAGCCTCTCCATTTCTCAGTTCCCTTGAGGTCCGATATTTACCTGTCTCATCCCAGGAGGCCGGCGGGCACAGAGCACTCTGCCAAATGCTCTGATGGAGCAGCGGCAGAAGCCCAGGCTCGGCTTATTCCTGTTCGAGGGGGGCAGAGGCGCCGCAGAGGAGCGGCGGGGGCGGGACACGAGCGAGGTCATCCCGGGCCGGGGCTCCCGGGGAGAATGCCCGCGGGCTGCGTGCGGAGATCTGCGCGCGCCACGGGGCAGGGAGGGACCTAGAGCCTCCCCCACGGCAGAGCCAGCCCAGCCCGAGACCCGGGAGACAGGGCAGCCCTGCCCCGCCCCAGGGACGGACGGACCCGAGCACTCCCGCACCAGACAGACGGGCCGTGTGGG